AGATCTCGTATATGACTCCGAGAAGACACTTACCATGCTCGTCGTCTGGGAGTAGATCGTGGATTAGCTTCCAACCGGAACAACCAAGCCGTCAGCCTTGCCGGGACTGTGGTACGCCACCGGATTCGTCTGGGAGGTTAAGAACATTGACTTATACATCGGTTGAGACCTCATGTCATTGTATGAGCCACGTCGCATTGGATAGCCATTACGATTGCGAATGAAAGTAGAATGCGTGCCGCATTCTAAAAAAAGATCGAACCATAGCCAGTACTCTATTCTTCATTCTCTCCTTCATGGGCTAAGTGCGCATTCAAAGGCATCTACTACTCCTTACAATTAGCGTGAATGTCATGTGTGGCGTATCTAAAAAATTATGAGCATTAGCAAGTAATCCTGCTGATGCTCTTTCGAAGCTCTTTTTAAACGCAGTGACATCTATCTAGGTTGTTGGAGGAACTTTATCATGTACCAAGTGCCAAATGAATGGGCACAAGCAATCAAGCATTGTTCTCAAATTACTGCTGCACCCTGCGTTCGTTGCGGCGCTCCAGTGAGGAAGGCACTATGGTTGACTTATTCTGCCCAAACAATCAACGTGGAAATGCCTCTAAGTTGCTAAATGTCAGCTTTACTGCTTCACACCCGTTTCAGAAGAGCACAGCGAATGCACAGTCATGTTTACGGATGTTCCTGACTTCGTGAATATCAACGCAAGCTGCACGCCTGCACAGGTATTCAGTTAAAACTTATTAGGAATACATACATACTATCAGGTTACATTCGGTTCCTTAATGATGCTGCTAGAAATTGCTCATTAACTCTAAGGTCTTCCTACAGCCACAAAATACCGTTTTTTTTGTGAAAACAGTTCCTGTAGTACAAAAAGGGGAGGAGAAAAAAATGAGACTGACATATATATCCAAAGAAGCTTTCCATGATCACCTGACAGGTGAAACCCTACTTTGTGGAAATGATAGGGTCCACAAATCCATAATTTGCATCATTTTCGAGGGTAGAAAATGAGCGACGGCAGCGTGGAAGCCGTCATTTGCTCCATCGGTAATTAATGCAGGTTACCGACATCCCTCTCTGAAACGGTATGACTCGGCATTGAGTAGACCATTAAAGTTGGAGTAAAAACTGGCGCGATCTGCAGGATTTTCTCAAGGAAGAGTAGGTGATACTGTAGCATAAAACTCTGATGATCTAGAGTTAGTGAATTCAGCGAGCGTGGTTCCCACATGGCTAGATTGATGGACTGTTCCTCGTAGCACAGGAGGGTGTCTTCCTGCTGCTTGAGGAAGTAGTTATCAGTGGGAGGAGAGGACCTCACAATACTGCGGGGAAACGGCCATGGAGGGCTTTCTCCCCAGAAGCGGCGAAGTAGACGTTGAAAGCAGGGCGACATACGCAGCATTCGCAACAGTTTAACCCTAGTGCCCCCTGTGTCGACTTTACATCTCAAATGGTACTGCGATACAGCGGATGGGAAGATTCGTAGTCTAGTTTTTTCGGTTTGTGCAGTATCCGTCGCGTGACATCTACCGTGCAGTCTTGGTCTTCGTAAATCTTTGATACTGTAAGCCGTTTTTGCTGCATTTTCGCCGAGCTTTTTCAGTTGATGTGGGTTGATGTGGGGATTCAGGTTAATGATGAATTCGAAGAATTTCGAGCAAAAGTGTTCGCAACTAACCAGGAAGAGATAGAATTTTTTATGAGCGAGTAGGACATTGCAGCATTTGTATAGGTTATTCCTTCCAGAACGACTCAAGGAGGAGCGTTACCCTCCTCTACTGGACACTTCGGGTTCCATATCAAAGAGTATTGGTAGACATTTGTGCTAACATTCTGGTCATAGTTGTCCCACTATCGACTAGTATCACCTAAAATCGCTCGTCATTGGCGAGCCGCGACTCGCACGCATATTACGCGGTGAATTACGATTCTATTGCCACATATCCTTTTACAGACACCCGTTTTGGTTCTATCCACGAAGTCGTGGCTTGGTCAAGGAGGAAGCAGTAGGTTCCATCAAGCTCTGAAAGCGAAGAAGTTCCATCAATTAAGTTGGCTTATGAGTAATGGCGTTTTTTCCTAACTCGGAATTTCACCTACGAGTATGTAAAGGTTTCGACCATGGAAACCTAAGATTAACCTGATAGAGGATCTTTTTGCCCTCCGAGATCCTATAAATTATTTTTTCAGCCTCACTCTGACGGGGCGGGTTTTCCGTCATTTTTTGTGTTCAAAGTGGAGTGTTAAAGACGGTCAACGGTTCGCGATAACATATGAAAATGCAAACAATTGTGTGGGAGGGTAGTGTGGACCGCAAAAGACAACCTTTGCCAGTCGCGGCAGAAAGTCGAAAGGTGATGGAGTTAAGGCGGAATGTTGCTTCTGTGACACCTTCCTTGTCCAGTGACTCCGCCCTTAAGTCGGCTGGCTGACTCGTCAAATCTCTTCAAACTCGGCAAATCGCTCCTTCGCAGTGCGCACGACAATTGTCAGTTTCGAGCACCCTCTCCTTTTTCCGTTCTGATTGGAAAGCGTGCAAACACCCAGGCACTGTGACCCCATGCCCCTTTGAAGCACGTGAGCCTAATGAGTTCCGATGGAAGCTTACTGAATCCGCTCTTCATCTGGGAATTCATGTCAACGAATGCGGAAATGGTAGGAATGCGTCCACACTTTCAGTGAAACACACTTTCAATTGATGGGGGAGGCTCAGAACTTAGTGGGAGAGTTCTGCAGGCCAGTGCTCTACTCGCCCACTTGCGTTCACCAGGCCGACAATTCCCATTTTTAGTAGCTAAAACATCAAATCTGAGAAGCGTCGCTCCCTTGAGCGATGCACAGCACATAGGTTTAAGTACTTATGCAATTTAGAGAGCCTAGATGAGAAAGGCGGGCTCGAGAAAGTCCCCTTTGTGTCAGCGCAGACACTCCATTCAACAAACCAACTGATAAAAACCATGGAAGACTGAATATCTTTCAAACATAGAAAAACGTTCGGAGTATTCTATCAAACCTTCCGCACAGTAAGTTTTAGTGTATGAAAAAGGAAAAGAAAGAAAGAGAACTTTTGCGTCACTACTTACTCGTGAGCGCAACCCAGAACAAGCGGGAATTGACGAAGTTATAGGAAGATTGAGTTTGGACGCCGTATTCGGTTTGTGGGGGGACCGAATGATATGCACCAAGGCGTGCACAGGCCATTTCAGGAAAATGTTTACATTTTCGTAACCAATGTGGCTCGCTTGAACCATTTTCCAGCTTCACACGTGTTTACAGGATTCGTCAAATTGAGACCAGTTGCTAGACATGAAAACGCAAAAGAAACTAGCGAAAATGAGATTTGCCCCTCCAAGTCGAAACGAAGCTATGTAAAGGCGGGTTAGGGCAGTTGTATTTCGTTGCTTATCACCACTGGAACTGCGACAGCGCATTATCTACCAGTATATGGCCCATTCTCATCATTATATACTCAACCATAGGTCACAGAAGTCTGTCAGGTCCTGTGAACGCGTTTTTTGCTCCTTTGGTCCATTTGCCGCGATTAACCTCAATCTAACTACGTCGATGAATTTCCAACGAGGATGGTCTCTTCGGCGATCTGTAGAGCTTATCACTAATTCTGACGAGGCCTCTTGCGTGTTAGAAAGTAGCGCCCCCTACATCCCTCAGGTTTTAAAAAACAGATATTCGCTGAATGACTGTGAATTCCAGCATGCCTCGAAAAGGTCTCTGATGAAATTCGTTTTTAGGTGATGGATGTTATCGCAGCGCTCTTCAAGCAATTCGACGCTTTGGTCGAAAGATTCGAGGTATTTTCAGGGAATCTGCTTGGGAAGAAATCTCACAGTTGAAGAGGAAAAGTAGTTTCGTTTTTCAGTGCAACAAGGTTTTATCGCTGTTGGATAGTTACCTGATCGTCAGTGGAGCCCCTAATATCAACAAACATCATGCTGAGAACATGCTCAATTTAAGTCTGGGTCTCATTTATGCCGGAAGAAATGTGATTGTTCCTGAATTGGATCTTCCTATTAGGGTATGCAGATATTTTAGAGAGCTTTTGGCTTTCTGCAATTTATTGTTCAAGCCGAAAAATTTCAGGTAAGAGTGGGCATCAGTTGTGGTTCGATCGTCGCGGGTGTGGTCAGCCATGAAAAGCCGAGGTTCATTTTTAAAGGCTAAGTCCGCTATCATTCGCCATCACAGATAGTGGATTAGGGGTTTGCATATAGACGACAAGGTCTGAGTAACTCGATAGTGAAGAAAAAAAGCAGAAAAACATGCCAACTGCCCTAGATAGAACCCCATTCCGGCCCAACTTGTACGTGCCCAGTCAACTCCATCTCCAATACTACGCCCTCCCCCCTCCACATAGCTGATTCCCGGACAAGAACTTCACGACCATACAAGTGACGATTTTCATGCTTTTTCGTCCTGCAGCTTCGTTTTTCACTGAAAGGCGGGCCTTGAAGGCGGAGTCTGGAGGCGGAGTCACTGGAAAAAAGGAGGCGTCACTGAACCTATATTGCGCTATAGCGCCCCTCCCTTACAATTTTGCCATAAAACCGGTACAAGGTTGTTCGTCGCGGATCACGCTACCTTCTGGACGCCATATTTCCAACTTTTATATCTGATCGCGGACCGTGCCTTTAAATTTCTTACAAATCACTCAGTCTTGGAAGTCTGGACCAGAGTATTTATTAGTGTAGAAATTTGTCAACAAAATTTGGTATTACGCACAAGCGTACTATAAGTAATTGGCACAAATGCCAGCACTCCTGATGCCTGTACGCAAACGCACACGCTGTAGTTGCTGGAGCCCGTAGCAAGGAAACCATGTGCTTTAACGCAAACTGGTTGCGGTATTTGGGTTCGGAACAGAGCGAGTCTTGCTGTTGGGTACGACTCCCCCAGATTCCCCTTTCTGAGGCGATCCCCCCCCCCTTCCCCGCCACATGCTGCCTAGTATCCCCCACACCTGAATTATCTCGACTTCCCCTCACTTTTACGGAGTTCTTTCCCCAATACTACCCACTTTTCCTTGAAAACCTGCCGCGCCGTCGAGTGAAGCGGGGGAGGGATGTGATTCGCACGAAGCGAGGAAAACTGAGTAAGTAGTAACTGACAACCAAGAACATTTTTCACAAAAGCACGTACGACTTTCCTCCCTGTAGCGGCCGAGTCCGACCCTCTAGCTAGGGATTCCCAACGTATCCTTATACGGAAGCAGCACGTAAAAGGATTTCGCCGAATTTGATGATTAGACGTGTTTTGGTGCGGGCTCTTTCGTGTCATGTGAATGTGTTGTTCGTGATCAGAAACCAAACAAACTCCGGTGACTAAGCTTTATCCTATCCCCGGGATTACTCTAGGTATAGTGCTGGTGGTAATTTTAATACGTTGACGACGTATTAAAATTACCACCAGCACTATACCTAGATACCTCGTTGAAAACTCGTTTCCAAAGGTAGTTTAACCTCCTAGACACGATTATCGTGAGAGCTAAGAGATTGAGGATTGAGAAAAGGGGTACACGTTGCAGCGCGGGCCCAACCTTCTTCTGCTCGTCCCATCCTTCTCCCGGAATAGTTGCCTCTTCCTCTATTAGGGTTGAACCTTAGCGAGGAAAGGATCACTCAAAAAGGATCGCAGTCAATAGGGTGTGTCTCGCCGTATTTCTTAACAGCCCTGGCACATTCCTTGCTAATATTTATCTCTTCAACTGGTCTACTGAGCGAAAGACATAGACAGTATGTAATGTTCTGGCCAAGATTCGGTACAAAAGCATATCTCATATCAGTTGACTTCTGAGAAGCAGAAGGTGCGCCCAGATAGCGTGCGCGGAGACAGACAGCAGTGCTTTCGATGCTCTCCTCTTTACCGTCCCATTTTAGAATATTGGGTTTCATTGACTATTAGAAAGGTGAATCAATTACCTGCCTCCACCCACCCGTTCACACGTTCCGCGGACTGCTGCTTTGAGGCTAGGTAATGTTCCAGTAAGGTCTTTACACAACCGTGGTAAGAATTGTGCCAAGTTAGTGACTCCAGGTAAACAATGAACCCCAAGGTGTATGACGCTTCCATTGATCGCTTCCATTGACCAAAAGCTTCGTTCCATTGATGAATCGGCACTACTCAACTATTACTACCACAAAAAGTCAAAAAAGAATTTTTTTGCTGAAACTTCGCCCACAGAGGAATTCGGTGTCCTGGTCACGAATATAGCACTCGTTTTCGGCGCTGACGCCAAATTGGCGCCAACTAGCGCCAGTTGGGCGCCGCCATCTCTCACCAAATGCGGTGTAAATTTGCATATTAAGGTGATTTGTCGTGATCACGAATACCGAATAAGTTTTCAGCCCTGATGCCATTTGGCGCCAATTAGGCGCTGATTTGGCGCCACATCCCTTTTTATCAAAATCGATAAAAACCTGCATAATGTGATTTCCTTCAGGTCAGGCTCAGCCTTAGCAGAGCGCAGATGATCGCAGCGTCTTCCATCAGCGCCAGCGCCAAAAATGAATGTGATATTTGTAATCAAGATGTCAAATAACCTCCGTATACAAGTTTTCAGCGGATTTGGTGACCTGGGTACCTTGGTGCTAGCGCTGTGGCGCGGGCGCCAGGCGGTTTTGCGCGGAGCGAATGAGGTCAAACTACCCCTGGGGACGAGTTTTCAGCGAATTCGGTGATCTAGGGTTTTTGGCGCCGGCGCCTGTGGCGCGGGCGCCAGGCACTTTCAGGCCAAGTGGATGTGATATTCGTGTTCAGGAGGTCGAATTACCCCTAGAACCCAACTTTCAGCCAAATCTGCCCCGTAGAAAAAGTCGATCAAGATCCGGCCTGTTTTCGGAAAATTGGGGTAGTAATAGTTGAATAGTGCCGATGAATCTTTACGACCAATTTTATCAAAATATTATTTTCAATCACTTTAAAATAAAAATTATTTTAAGGTACTGCATATTCGGTCACACGGTCAGTGTCGCCAAGCAAATATGCACCTACAGCCTACCCGGGAAGATTCTGGTCACGAATTCTGTCCGAACGTCAGTTTATATAGTATAACTTCTTAAACAAACGGACCACGCTGATTTTGTGGGCGGGGACGGTCAACTGGCACTTTCTAACTGGAGGTTCCTCTTCGTCAGCTGGAGGCGAGAGGCCTATCTGTGAGAAAGCCTCTCTCCGCTCTTGCCTCAGTCCACACGATCAGAGTGAGTCGTAGCATGAATCGACTATCCATTTTATTCATACTTCAGGACAGTTGCAAAAAATCAAAACTCGTTCCAATTCCGTCAGCATCAACCAATCGAGTGCGGATCAATGAAAGTGCTTACTCATTTCTTGGAGAAGAACGAAAAATTGAGTGTGTGGGAAATCGCCGGCGTTGAAAAAGGTGCCTACTTTCATATTGCTATCCGTAAAAGACCTACAAACAGACTTGTTCGCTGCAAATGATCGGATTTGCCAGTGGGGCGGAGTTTGGCGCGCCGCCAGCCCGTTCTCCAGCGATTGTTGAAGGTGGCAAAAGACAACAACTGGTGGAAAACGACGGATACAAACGACATGGTGAGCCTTGTCTGCTGCCAAAAGAAAAAATGGAGACGGGCTGGCGCCGCGTTCAACACACTGGCACGCCCATCATCCACGGCGAGCAAGACTATAGATCATCTACTTAGCAGAATAGTTTACCATGTGCCTCTCTCACTAGATTATAGAATCGTTGGGAGAATCTCATCAGAGCGATCGTACCTGGTCACTGAGCAGTCTTATCGTATCTGGTATATTGGGGGTCGTATCTGGTCGTGATATGAAAGTTCCGAGCCGCGATAAAGATATTTCCTCACTCCCCCACCCTGCCCAGCCCCTCAGTTGCCGACGCCGCGAAATTACCACAGAGCTACTATTTCTCTTACTCCTGACAACTGAATTCAGGAGCTGTTTGCC